TGGTAATCATCGACTGAACTAATTGAGACTGTCAGGCACGTGCTTCCGATTTCTATTATTCCTAGATTTCCTGAATCACGCAACTTAAAAATAGGATAAACTGTCACACAATTAAATTGGAACTTTCATGACAACCTAAACTGAAACTATCCAAAAATTTAAATGGAGAAATTCAATTTGGCAAATAGTTGGTTTCAAGTCGGTGTAACTGAGGAGCCTGTATTCTGATCTGGGGACGTTCCCTTGAAATGAGCCGAGAGACTTTTGTCAGATTTTGAGCTGTTATATTAGTCAGTTAATTTTTGTTCTTTGTTCTCCAGTAAAAATAAACTGTAAACTGCAAATTCTTCCTTCATCTCTTCCTGTCCTACAATTAGACATAACTGGGCTGGAAGCAGTGACTCAAAAACCTAACGGTTCATTTAGCCTCTAGTCTCATTCAAACAAGATTATAAAAGCTACTTTATTTGACATATACTATATATATTGTAAAAATACAATGTACTATAAATGTAATGGATATGTAATGATATTTGTTTTTGTATTGAGAAAAATAATGATGTTATTGTTCTTGTTGTTGTTGCTATGTACTACGGTTCCTAGTGGAAAGTCATGTGAGAGTTGAGTTATCTAAGTACTGAACTGTTGGATAGTAAACCAGCTAATTTTAAATTCGATCGATGGTGAATTAAAAAATGTGGACCAAGGCCAGTTTAATCGTTTTCCTAATCAAAATAAAACACATAATTATGAGCTCGAGAGAAGGCCGTAACATCGATCAACCTCGGCTGGTTTTCAGCCGGGTCCTCTATTTCAGGTCGAATTTTAATTTGGAAATGTTGCAGTTTTCCNAACTGTTGGATAGTAAACCAGCTAATTTTACTTTCGATCGATGCTGAAAAAATGTGGACCAAGGCCAGTTTAATCGTTTTTCCTAATCACAATAAATCACATAATTATGAGCTCGAGAGAAAGCCGTAACATCGATCAACCTCGGCTGGTTTTCCGCCAGGTCCTCTATTTCAGGTCGAATTTTAATTTGGAAATGCTGCAGCTTTCCAGAACGGAGGAAAACCGGAGTATCCGGGAGAAAACGCACGGAGCCGAGCCACATTTGTGGAAGCCAAGGCGCTCTCACCACTGTGCGATCTCTGTTCCTGCTAATCCCCTGGACCGGGTTGTTCAAAAGCCGGTTAACGCTAACCCAGGATTAAAAGCTAACCGAAGTATTAATTTTTCTTGCACAAAAATGTTTTTCACTGCCTAGGTTTTCTGTAGTTTGCGATAAAACTGAAGAACAAACAATATAAACAGGAAGCTTCACCAAAAAATTATAAAACAGAAACAAAATATGGCCCAGGACTGTACGCCAGTTACTTGAACAAGTTAAACGGGAATGTGCTACGATGCTACGAAAATATATTTAAAATACTCAAAATTATGGCAAAATCAGAGCATGATTGCCCAGAGTTTTTTTAGAGGCTTCTTCAATTTAGCTTGAAGCCGAATCCCCCAAAGTAAAAGGTCTTAATTAAACTTTATCAACGCGTATTTAAGTCTCCATTAATGATTACGCGTCCCCGAGGAAACGATACAGATTTGTCCTAAGAAGTCTACACTTTTGAAAGCATTGGTGGCAAAATCCTCCTTTTCAGGTAAATATTATCATCGTTTTTCATCGTGTCAGTATGGACGACAGACTAAAAGTACGAAAATAACGTTCAATGAAACTTATTTGCTTGAGTGGTTGAGCCTCAACGGAGTGGGGAAGCATTCTCGTCCCCATAGCTCTCTCCACTTCTCTTATCTAGCGAAGGCCTTGGCATGGGAAATTGTTTCTCGTGCCAAGGCCCCGCCGGCTAAGATAAGCAAAAGGGCTATGGGGACGAGAATGGTGAGGAAGGGGAAATGTCAACCTTGTCTCCAGGGCGCTTTTCCCTTCAAATGAGAAAAGCGCCCGGGTTAGATCTAGATTTTTTTATTGTTCCACACCATTTCTTACAATCAGTCTATAAATAAATATTAGATATTAGCAACAAGAACACGAAAACAAAAAAAGTTATAATAAATATAAAATGTAAATGTACGCAGTGACCAAAAAGCAGCTAAGGCTTTCCGATTGGTCTCTGGTGACGAGGTTAAAGGTCGGGCAAGAGCTATTTTCAATTTATTTTCGTACCTGCATAGCCTTGGTTTCTTTATATCATATTTTTTTCCTTTTTTTTTTTTTTTTTTTTTTNTTAAGTCTCCATTAATGGTCACGCGCTCACGAGGAAACGATACAGATTTGTTCTAAGAAGTCTACACTTTTGAAAGCATTGGTGGTAAAATCCTCCTGTTCAGGTAAATATTATCATCGTTTTTCATCGTGTCAGTATGGCCATGGACGACAGACTGGCTAAAAGTACGAAAATAACGTTCAATGAAACTTATTTGCTTGAGTGGTTGAGCCTCAAAGGAGTGTGTAAGCATTCTCGTCCCCATAGTTCTCTTCACTTCTCTTATCCAGCGGAGGCCTTGGCATGAGAAATTGTTTCTCCTTCCAAGGCTCCGCCGGCTAAGATAAGCAAAAAGGGCTATGGGGACGAGAATGGTGAGGAAGGGAAAATGTCAACCTTGTCTCCAGGGTGCTATTCCCGTCAAATGAGAAAAGTGCCCGGGTTAGATTTAGATTTAGATTTTTTATTGTTCTACACTATTTCTTACAATCAATCTATAAATAAATATTACATATTAGCAACAAGAACACAGAAACAAAAAAAAATTACAATAAATAGAAAGTAAATGTGCGCAGTGACCAAAGTTCAGGTTGGTCACTGGTGACGAGGATAAAGGTCGGGCTAGAGCTATTTTCAATTTTTTTTTTTTTTTTTTTTTGTATCTACATAGCCTTAGTTTCTTTATATCTTTCCATTTTTTTTAATACGAACCTAATCCAAATAATGAGAAATCGAGGAGAGAAAATATTGACAACTGTTGACCAACATTTTCAAAAAATTGTTGGTTTGTTGGTCTTTCCTGTTGTCGGCTGTGTGACAGCTATGGTTGACGATCAAGGGAGGGTGGATAAGTAGATTGTGAAGAAAATTTCTTCAATGCAAGGAGTAGACTTCTCACTTCTATAGTTTAACTCAGTTTTCAGGGTGGGAGGAGAAGGCCAAGTGTAGAGGCAATATAGTGATGCGATTGCCACAAAAACCTTCTTCCCAGAGCCCCCGTTACCGCTGGACAAGGGTAGCGAGGGTTCTGGAACAAGATTGCCCCAACGAAAGAAAAAAAACTAAATTCCTTGTTCTTTTTATTGAGTTGATCGATTTATTTCTTCAACTTCTAATACTGAAACATCGCTTCCTCTCAACACTCTCACGGAGTGAGACTCCCTTGACATTTAATTATTTTTATGGAAATTGTTCCCAAATTCGCAAGGGGCC